CATGTGCCCCACCCCCACTCCCCAGTTGCTCACCTTTTGACTCTGCAGCTCACACTCCTGCAGAAGCAACTCAAAGGCCTTGATGCGTTTCCGGATCAGCTCCTGCTTGGAGGCTGACAGGAGAAGACCCTTGGGGTCGAGGGTCCCAATGATTTCAAACCACACAGGACAGCCTTCATAGTCGTAGCCACACAGACCGCCCGAGTCATACCGCTGGACCACCTGGACACATGGGTAAGGCCCTGACTCAAACTGGCCCACTAGACCATGTCCCTGCTCCCTCAGGTGGTTGTGAGTTGGTGGACAGAGGGACGTCAGATGGCCTAGGAGATGCTGCATGGGGCTCACCTCTGAGGGCTGCCATGAAAGGATGTTGTCCAAGTCCTGTTGCTTCCGGAACTCCATGTGCTGCAGAGACATGAGAAGGCTTGCCCCAAAGGCCTCTGCAGGCACCTAGGGACACCAGACCAGGTCTCTTTGCCCACAGCCACCAATGTCCTGTCAGAGCATCCACAGGCTCTACCACACAGAACTAGGAATAGGGACAGGAGGAGGGCTTGAAGGGGAGGGACCCAGGTCTGATGTAGACAGGAAGCTGAGGACGAAGACACTTGACAATGGTTACACTTTCTCACTGAATACTGGGGGAACAGCCTGCAGGAAACAGGACCCTAGGGATGATGGGGCCTCACCTTCCGGAGCATGTCCTCTGACTTCTGCAGGTCGAAGTTTCGAGCTGAAAGAAGAATGAGGGAAGAAGCTGGAGGCCAGATGGAGAATAAGCTGCTTTCTGAAAGCTAGTGAGGACATGATGGGGGTGTTCCCAACCTTTTCCTGACACTCCAAGAATACTTGGGGACTGGAAATGTTTTTCTTTTTTTTTTTTCTTAAGCAAGAATCTTTACTCTTCTGGAAGACACTGGAGGGCCCTTGATTTCTGTTTCCAGGCCTTTGAAAACTTTGAAATCTAGAAGTCAATCTAGCCTGCAATAGTTGGCATTCTCCAAGGATCTGAGACCCTACACAGTATTTGAGGTGCTAAAAAGCATGGGATTTGCAATTAGAGTTGGGCTTGAATTCTAGTTTTGCCTTTTTGTTTCCTATGCAACCTGGAACAAGCTATTTACCATCTCTGAGCCTTATTTTTTAAATCTGTTAAATAGGAATAATAATTTGTTCAGTAATTCAAAGGAAAGTGTGAGATACAGTAGATAAAGTGCTTGGCACAGTACCTAGCTCACAGGAGGTTCTCACTTTTTTTGTGTGTGCTAAGGATTGAACCCAGATGCTCATACATACAAGACAAGCAAGCACTCTACCACTGAGCTACATGCCCAATTCACAGTTAAATTCTCAATAAAGAGTAGCTATTGTTGTGATTACTTATTTTGAAGAAATTGTTATATTTTAATAAAAAATGTAATGCTCCATTTGATTTAATTAATTTTTGGAGACAATCTATGTTACCTAGATTGACCCTGAACTCCTGGGTTCAGCATCCCACGTGTCTAGGGCCACAGGTACATGCCACCACACCCAATTATGTTCTATTTTAGAAATGCCATGACCATTGCTCTCTAAGACCACTGTCTCACTGTTGAATTTGTTCATTGATGGAGCTGCTGAGATGCAAGATTAGAGATTTTCAAGTGGAAAGGGCTTGATATCACCCAGAATTCCTCTGCCCTAATCATGAACCACCTCCAGCAATAACCATTGAGGCCACTA